GACACCTAGAAAGAGAGGCAGCATCGCTCACAGCGGAGGCTGCTGAGTCCGAGGCCCGTCTGCTGGGACTGGGCACTGGGACTGGGTGACTTGGGACAAATCCCAACACACTTATGGGCCAATTTCTCTGGCAGGTCCAGTGGGAATCGTTCTGCCTCCTCCTGCACCTTGAGCTGTCACCGGGTCTGTGCAAAGAGGCTCCGGGTCCTTCCAGTGACAGCCAGGGGGTCACTCACACCATCCGTGGAGAACTCAGGTGCCGAGCACTTGAAGGCCTTCTGAACCCAGCCTCCTCTGGCCAGTGGACCTCTCCCAAAGTGGCCTCAGCTGTGTTTCCCATCCTGCATGCTCCCCATCGAGGGCCACCGCCTGCCCCTCCCCTGAACTTGGCCGTGACTCTGTCTGCCCCTGGGAATAGGAGGCAGAGGAACCCGGTCCTGCGTGACTTTGCGTGTCTTCTGCCGACACTGTCCCTGGAGATTCTTGCTCTTGGAGCCCCGGCCACGCGAGGAGGCGGATGTCATTGTCCTGGTGACAGTCTGCTATGTGGGTGAAGGAGCTTCAGTGCCTCGGGACCTCAGGCTTCGAGTTGCTGCTTCAGCTGACAGAGCTGAGCCTCTGCTGAACCTGTCCGTGGCCCCAGAGGTGTGAGCGTTTAGGTCGGCTGATTTGTCACTGTGACCCAAAGACCCCACAGGCACAACAGAGAGGAGGAAAGGGTTATTTGGGCTCATGGTTTCTGAGGTTCAGCCCACGGTCAGCCGACTCCATGGCCCAAGTGAGGGAGGACATCACAGGTGGGGGGACAGCCGCCCTGGTGTGGCACCGGGGAGCAGAGAGGAGAGCGCCCCACTCACCAGGGACCCAGCATGAAGCCCACGGCACGTCCCCAGGGACCCACTTCCTCCAGCCACACCTCAGGACAGTCACCCTCAGTTCACCCACCTCAGGGGATTGAGCCGCTGATTGGGTCCTGGCTGTCACCGCCCCAGCGCTCCCACGCTAAGCACCTGCATGCTCACACCTGAGCCGCGAGGGACGCCTCCCGTCCAAACCGTCACAGTACGCGAAGTTGGGGTGCCTGGCCACCCAGTGCAGGGACCTAGACCCCCGGGGCCTGCCCACGGAGGACCGTTCTCCCCGCAGACGCAGAAGCCGGGTCTCACCTGTCAAAGGAGCAGGATCAGGGTTCAGCCCCGGGGCCTCCTGAGCACTGGGTCCGGCTCACAGCGGAGGCCACGTCCGGCCCCGGCTCGTCCTGAGCACAGTCGTGCTGGGGCTCTGGGTCTGGGGGTGGAAGCAGAGAGGGGACAGGTGACAGATTGTTGTTTGGGTGGACATACTCACAGGGACACTGATTACTTGCTTCAAAGATTCATATCTGGCCTCCTGGGGACTCTGACAGACTGGCCCCCGGGGTTGTCCTCAGCCCCAGGGCTTCCTGTCAGGACCTCACCACAAGCCTGTCAATGGCTGTGGGGGTGCCAGGTGATGGCCTCAGGGACCGAACAGCGCGGTACAGAGGCCTGGGGTCCGCCGTAAGCTGACCAGTTTACAACCCTCCACATCCACCCTGGGCCCTGAGATGTGGGGCCAGAGAAGCATTGGATGGCAGGAAACTGATGTCCAGCTGATGACAGCCAGCTAGCAGTGGGGACCCAGGCTGGTGACAATCCTCTTCTTCTGAATGCAGATACCTGATGAGCCCAGATCGGCTTGTGGTCCCCCTCATTCCCAGGAACAGATCAGTTTCTTTCAGGACAAGAGATCCTGGCGTGGCTCTGGGCTGTGGCCTTCCTGGTGGACATGAGTTTCCTGGTGACCTAAGTGAGCCCTGAGGACCCTGGAACCCCCAGTGACTCTGACGCTCCCCTGGTTCATGGGGGGAAATGGATTCACTTGGCAAATGGCCAGGCTGGGCAGGCAGTGGGCAGGGGACAGGTGCTTCGTGCCCACCAATGTCCAACCCCCTCTGGTCACTTCACCCCATACTCAGTCCCTTTGGGTCCCACGAGGTTGACCTGAACCCACAGTTCCAGGCCTGGATCCATGGCCCAGTCCAATGAACCCGATGATTCCACTCCTCTGGCTGTAGTGACCAGTCCAGGAATGACCTAAAGTGGAACTTTCCCCAGAGGTATCAGGAAACAGGCATTCCATTCAGGGGCGGTGGGGATTGATAGATTGCAGCTGCTGCTACCAGGGGTGGTAACTGTCAGAGGGTGAAGCCCACAGAGGAAAATCAGGGCCTGGGGCGGGGGCAGCGGGAATCCCAGTAGCATTTAAACACCTAGATCCAGCCATATCTGAAGCCAGACCCCTTGAACTTTTCAATGACACTGGCCAATAAGCTCCCGTTTCCCACGAGCTGAGCAACAGTGAAAGTCTTCAGATGTTATTAGTGTATTCTCCAGGCTCCGTCTCCATGGTGGCCACAGGCTGGCAGAGAAAAGTAACCTGGCCTCCAGCTCCAGCTCCCCGCCCCCCTCAGGAGTGGGGATCATTCATTCCATAAACGCTCGTGGAAACTGCAGTGAGCCTGAGCACAGGACAGGCGACACTCAGATCCTAGCAGAGGGGAATGGTGACAGCTGTCATTTATTGAGCACATGGTGTGCAGCAGGCTCTGTGTTAACCCCTTTCCGGGGATGAGCTTTTTAACCTCTTAGGCAACATTACTAGGCAATGAAGAAGAAACCGAGGGTCAGAGGGAGGTTGAGCAAATTGGGCAAAACCACACCCAACAGGCACAACCAGGATTCCAGTCCAGACAGACTGGCTCCAGTCCACCCTCAACAGTGAGGAGAGGGCAGGGGAAAGAAACGTTTGAAGGGCCAGAGGTCTGATGGGACAGCAGGGACAGGACAGGGGAAGGGAGAAGCTCTCCCGGGCAGAGCCAGCTCCGTAATCTATGGGCCCCGGACAGAATGCAAGTGGCTTCTGAATAGGTCATGAACATGATACCGTCTCCTCCCAGCTCCCGGGGGAGCATCTTCGTAGCCCTCAGCGTCCCTGTGAGACACCCGGCTGCCTGAAGCCACCAGGGCAGCCCAGGTGCTACAGGGGAAGGAGGAAATGACACTAAGCACAGAGGTGATCTGTCGGCAGCCACAGTGACTGGAGCAATCAGGAAACAAGGAACAGTGCTGGGTGGTCAGCAAAGCTCTGGAAAGTGAGAGCAGCATGTGCAAAGGTCCTGAGGCAAAGCACTGAGAAGGCAGAGCTGAAGGGAAGTCACAGAGGTGGGCAGGGCTGGCTTGGAGACTCTGGGGCCCAGTTTGGGACCCAAGCAGACGGGGCACACCACCACATCCACTGGGCACTTGTGTTCCTGCCTACATTCCTCCTGCAAAGGGGTGAATCTGCTTCCCCATGTGATTTTGGGCAAATCACTCAGTTGCCCCAGGTGGAGGTCAGTTTTTCCCTGTTATAAAATGAGGAGAATAAAGCTCCGGCCTAACTGGGATCATCAACCTGCCCCGCCAGCACCGTGGTAGTGACAGCGCCACCCACTCTGGGCTGGGCTGGGCTGCACCCAGCACTGGGGTGCAAGCATCTGTCCCTGTAGCAGTGCGCTTCCCCCTCCCGGGGCCTCATCCACCCTGGAGGGAACTGAGGCAGCACACAGGAAGGCCAGGCCCTGCTGGTGGCTGATCCCAGCTGTGGCTGCTCTTCCTGCCAGAGCCCCACACCTGGCTCAGTGTCCTCAGGCCCCCGGGGGAGCCCTGTTCAGGAGGACCCCTGTCCGTTCAAATCTCCACCAGGATTCAGGAAAACACAGCACAGCCCGGCCCGTTGGGCAGCGGGAAAGAGGCAGGGAGAGAGGCCCAGCTGGCCAGCAGGCAGAGCCCAAAGGCCACCCACTCGGGAGAGCCCACTGACCTGGCCGTATTGGCCTGGCAACTGTGGCCCCAGGGACACAACCTGCCCCCCTGGGATCTGAACTCCGTGGGCTGGGGGAGGAAGACACACAGACATGAAACAGAAAACACTGACTTTGTGCTCACCTGGTGCCAGCACTTCCCAGACCCATGTGATTTTCATGCACCATGAAGGCACAGAAAGGTTAAGTGACTTTCCAAAGTCACACAGCTGATAGGTAGTGGAGCCAGACTGTAACCAACAAACAGAATTCCTCAGTCTCCACCCTGCACACTCACATGCCCTCCCCACGTGAGGGACGGGGTCACACCAGCCTACAGTCGGGGGACGGAGGCCCAGAGCTGCCCACCCGAGGTGTCCCGGCCAAGCGTGGAGGGGGGGATTTAGTTCTAGTCTCCCCTGGTTCTGGGGGGTGGGAGTGGGGGGCTCGGCCAAGACACTTGAGCACCTCAAGCTCTTCTCCCCACAATCCACCGCCTCACTCCAGTCCCAGGCGCCCAGGACATGACAACTCATTATGTCACAGCTGCTGAGCCAGGGCCACCCCAGGGTATGACATCCCCCAGGCCCAGGGAAGAGTGAGGACAGGAGCCAGCACCCAGGGGCACCCACTTCTCTGGCCTCGCCCCACCCCCTCCCCCTTCTGCTCTGGGGCTGGGGGGTCACTCCCTGGAGTTCAGCTGTCGCATGGAACCAGAGGGGACGGTGGAGGGGCTGGGAAGGGGGAGGGGCTGGGTCCTCGGGAGGCACAGGGGTCGAAGGCTGGGACACGGTGCGAGTGCGCTGTCTCTCTTCCCCTCCCCTCCCCTCCCCTCCCCTCTGTCCCCTCCCCTCCCCTCTGTCCCCTCCCCAGGGCCGCTGGACAGCAGAGGTCCCGAGGCGTGGAGGCTGAGCCAGGCCTGCAGGCAGGAGCGGGAGGAAGGAAGGGACGCGAGAGGACAGCGGTGAGGGGTGCCTGGGGGTGGGCGCCGAGGCCAGGGCGACAGGAAGCCCAGCAGCTGGACCCAGGAGCATAAATAGCCGCGCGAAGCGCTCACTCGGCAGGGGCTGTGCTGTCCCCGCGGTGGCCTGAGCACCGGCAGCACGGACCCACACCCCCGCCTGCACTGCGTCCCCGGATGCTCTCCCGGGCAGCCATGCTGCTGGGCGGCCTCCTCCTCGCGGTGGCCACCATGATTGCAGCCCAAAGGAGGGGACCGGAGGCGGCCGCGCAGCACCAAGTGCACCTGGTCCAGAGCGGCCCGTGCAGCTACACCTTCGTGCTGCCCGACCCGCAGCCCTGCCCGCCCGGGGACCCCCGGAGCCCCGACAGCCTCCAGAGGGACGTGTCCCCCGCGGCGCCCTCGGCCTCCCTGGGCGCCTGGCGGGCCCAGCGGGTGCAACAGCTGGAGAAGGCGCTGGAGAACAGCACACTGCGGCTGCAGAAGGTGAGTGTGGCGACCCGCGACCTCGGGGACCTCCCAACCCGCGGCCGATCGGTCACCCCAGGACCCTCCCCGGGCAGAGACTGGGATGTGAGGCTCAGAGAGGGCAGGCATGGGCCCGAGGCCACACAGCAAGGCAGGCGGCCTCAGAACAGGAAAGCAGGCTCTTTGCCACTGTGTGGATTCATTCATTCAGTGCTCAGTGGAACCTCGTTGGGCCCTTGCCACCGGGCGTCCGCCCCCTGTGCAGGGGTCCAACAGACACAGTGGGGGGGACAGCCCCTCTGGGTGAACCGGGGAGAGGCACAGAGGTGTCTACTGTGTCTGATGGGGACCCAAAATGGGAGAGGAGTGTGGGGTAAGTGGTGGACGGGGCTGGCCATCTGAGGTCAGACCACTGGAGAGTGGGGTGACGGAGAACAGAGCGTGACCAGGCAGAGGGCCCAGCAGCAGCGAGGGCTACACAACACGTACGGGGTGGTCACCTGGGGAAGGCACGGTGGCCAGAGCAGGCAGAGCAGAGAGCAAGAGGGAGAAGAGGGTCCAAGATGGATCCCCAGAGGTGAGGGCAGGGCCGGCCGTGAGGGCCTGTGGGTCACTGGACGGCTCTGCTCTGAGTATCAGGGACCCAGCGTGGAGTCCTGAGCGGGCAGCAGCCAACCCCCAGCTCACTGCAGGGGCCAGGAGGGACTGCAGGGGGCTCCAGGGGAGGACATTGTGGCCCCTGCAGCCTCCAGGCATCAGGTGATGGGGCCGGCGGCAGGAGGACCTGGGCGCAGGGTGGGTGGGGTCCTGGCATGTTGGGAAGGAGCACCGACTAGCTCTGGGGGCGGAGTAGGTGCACGCACTGGTGGACAGATGGTCGTGGGCGGTCATTGAGGGCACCCGTCCCTCTCATTCTTTCAGCCAACACTGAGCACCTACCATGAGGCTCAGGTGGGCTCTGGGCGCAGGGAACAGGCAGCCTTGGGGTGGCAGGGGGCAGGCAGGACCCGAGGGGTCCAGGATAGAGCTGGCAGGGCCACTGCGGGCCAAGTGGGGACAGGAGGATGAGGCCCAGGACACGGGACGGTCTGCGTGGAGGGCGTGGCAGCCCTGAGCCGGCTCAGGACGCACTTAACAGCAGCCGGACTTGACAGGGGAAGAGGCGGGGGCTTGGTGTGTCCCCCAGACGCCACTGACCCTCACGCCTGGCAGACGGTTTGGGCGGCACCGGCCAGCAGACACCTCTGCTCCCCGGCGGGTGGGCATGGGCTGGGCAGTCGGACCCGGGTGCCCACGGACAGCACAACTGGGGTGACGGGTGGAGCTCCGAAAGGATCGCATGTGAGCCCACGTCCCCTCCGTCTTCCAGAGGATGGTCCCAGCACCCTGTTCACCCTTCTCCAGGCAGGCCAGGTGCACGACGGTGCCCAGGTCGGGCGGCTCCCCACCCACACAGGTGCTCCCCACGAAGCCCTGCCGCTGCTTCTGCCTGCCTCCTAGGGCCCCGTCAGCTCCCCTGTCCCACCTGCCTGCCGGCCACACCCGGTCCCTCTGGCCTCCACCCTGCAGCCAACCCAATGCCCAGCCAGCTGCCTGGGCAACCCTGTGCGTCTCCCAGACAGCTGTCACCGCGTCCCAGGGGAGAGTCCACAGGACAGAGAGGCTCCTCCTCCTCCAGCCTGACTCCACCTCCCCCACCCAGACGCTCCAGACAGGGACCCCTCCTTAACACGGAGTGGGGGCGGAGGGTGACCCCTCAGGCTGGGGGAAAGGAGAGTCTCCCTGGGCAAGGCCACTTCCCTGCCACCCCACGAGACCCGCAGACTTCTCTGCTGGCCCTTCCCCTGAGCATGCGCTCACACCCAAGTACCTCGTGTAACAAAGAAGGAGGAGAAGAGGAGGAGGAGGGGGAGGAGGGAGAGGAGGAGATGGAGGGTCAGAGGAAGAGGAAGAGCAGGAGGGGAGGGAGAGGAGGAGGAGAGGAAGGAGTGGAGAAGAGGAGGAGGGGAGGGGTGGGGAGGAGGGAGAGAAAAGAGAAGGGGGAAGAGGAGGGGGAGGAGGGAGAGGAAGGGAGGAGGAGAAAGGGGAGGAGGGGAGGATGGAGATGAAGAGGAGGAGGAGGAGGGGGAGGAGGGGGAGGAGGAGGAGAAAGGGGAGGAGGGGGAGGAGGGGGAGGAGGAAGAGGAAGGGGAGGAGGGGAGGAGGAAGAGGAAGGGGAGGAGGGAGAGGAAGGGAGGAGGAGAAAGGGGAGGAGGGGGAGGATGGAGATGAAGAGGAGGAGGAGGAGGAGGAGGAGGGGGAGGAGGAGGAGAAAACACGAGTCTCTTGCGAGCTCACTCTTCCTCACTTTCCAGTGGCTCCTTGTCCTGGGGTCACCTGCCAATTCCCAAGTCCCATGGCTACGGCTCAGCCTTCCTTTTACTTGACCCCTTGACAAACTCCATCTTGGTGACCAACACCATCCTTCTGGGAAGGGTCTCCATTGGCCAGTCCCTGCCACCAAGCACAGCCGCTCTGGCCACCTTCCCTCCCTCCGTGGCCCCCACCCACCCCTGCCACCTCTGTCCCCTGCCTGCCACTGCCTGGGCTCCCTGCTTCCATCCCCACAGACTGAGGGTCCTCACTGAGGCCTAAGTCGCACGCTGGCCCTCTGCCCGGGCTCCAGCCCATCAGGACACAGCGAAGTCCTTTCCCCTCTGCCAGACTCCCAGGTGCCTCAGTCCCTTCAGGACTCAGCTCCTCCGCCCCGTGTCACCTTCTCAGAGAGGTGCTCCTGTCCACCCCAGGTCTGAGAGCCCTCCTGTCCCCTCCCTCCCTTCCTGGCGCCCTCGCCGCTGTTTCCTAAGGAGCACTCGTCCTGGTCTGGTCCCCCAGAGGACGGGTGCCGGGTCTGGCTCACTGGGTTCCCAGGGCCTCCACCCTCATGGTGACAGACTGAGGAAGGTGACAGATATGTTGGTAGATATCTGCGAGGGAGTGAAGGTGTGGCCGTCCCCTCATCCCTCTATCTCCACTCAGCAATGTCACCGATTCACTCCTGACGGGATCCTGAGTCCCGAACCGACTCCCCACAGGAAGTGCCCCCAACGGGCACCCAGGGCCTGTGGGCATGACCCCAGGGCTGCCTGGGACTCCGCTCCTCGGCCGTCTCTGTCTAGGACGTCATACCACCCAGCTCTGGGGGTCTGCTCGGCTCCCTGCGCAGCTCCAGGCAGCAGGTCCCACCTGTCACCTGTCTTCCCATCCCTGGCCACGGCCCTGGCTCAGGCCTCCCTGGTCACCCCAGCACTTGCACCCCAAGTCTCACGCTCTTGTCCCTCTTTTGAGTCCGCTGGGAGCACTGGCTGAGCCAGCACGTGGAGTTGACCCCAAGGGCTCCCTGGCCCGACCCTTCAGCCTGAGGTGGAGTGTCCTCTCTAGGTGTCCATCCGGGGGGGTCATCAAGAGCTCCGGGGTGCCCGACCAGCCTGGGTTCACGTCTGACCCTGGCACGCACTTGCCTTGTGACCAAGGATGAGCAGAGTGGAGAAGGTGACAGCATGCTGGCCACAGGTGCACGGCACACAGCCCCACCCCCATCTGAGCGCCGGCCGAGCCCAAGCCCAGTTAATCTTAGTCAAGTTGGTCCAAAGTTGCAGTGTCCCTCGGGCCAGGTTGTCACCCATCCATGCTGGTCTCAATGGGACCCCAATCCTGCTGTGTCTCAGGTGGGATCTATGCACCCAGCAGAGACAGAGGGTCCGCCATAGGGTGATTGCCATACCATCCTCTGGGTAAGGGACCCCTGGCGTGGAGTACCCCATTCATGCTCTTTGATATTCAGGCTGCTGCCAGGTCACCCTGTGTCCAAGGAGCCAGCCAGAAGATCAGAGCCATCTGAGTAAACACACCCCAGCGTCACTCTCCCTGTGTCTGTTCCGTCCCCAGACCCTGGAAGGTGGCTGTGGAGCCAGGGGTCAGAATTCGAGTTCCACTTCTGCCCCTTCCTGGCTGTGTGCCTTGGGGAAAATTGCTTCATGTCTCTGAGGTTCAGTTTCCTCACCTACAGAATGAGGGGACAAGACTGCCCACCTCAGCGAGGATTTAATGAGACGATGCCCAAAAGCCCTTGGCCGGGTGCCAGGCGTAATGCAAGTTCTTGGTACCTATTGACTGCTTCCGTTAACGGCTCTTACTGGACATAAACGTAGGCCCTGTGGCTTGGGGGTCTCTCCTCCTCCCACCCCACAGTTGAGGCACGCAATCCCTGGCTCCTTGGAACAACGCTCTCCCCCTGGTCCCAGCTGGGATGCTCACCAGCTTCCCAGGCTGTGACCAGGACCTTCCTCTGGTTCTTCTCCTGGTCTGGGAGGCTGAGTCAGGAGGATCCTGAGTTCAGCAACTTGTCAAGGCCCTATCTTCAAATAAAATAAGAAAAAGAGCTGGGGATATGGCTCAGCGGTAGAGCACCTCTGGGTTCAGACGGAAGGAGGGAAGGAAGGAGGGAAGGAAGGAGGGAAGGAAGGAGGGAAGGAAGGAGGGAAGGAAGGCTGATTCCGCTCACCTGGGAGAAGGAGGGAGCGCTCCCTGGGTGAGTTCCCAGCAGCTGAGCTTGCGCAGTCCACGCCCCCAACTCCTCTCCTGTTCTTCAGTGTACAGATGAGGAAACCGAGGCCAGGCGGTGGTGGGATGTGACTGGCCCTGGTCATGCAGCAGTGGTAGAGCGCCTCTGGGTTCAGTGCAGATCCTTCCTCCAGACTCTGGACAGAGTCAAGGGGGCAGGGAGCCAAGTTCTGGAGACAGCGGGCAGCTCCCTTCACCTCCCAATGGACCTTCAAGTCCAGGCAGGCAGCTGGTGGGGGCCTATGGCCCTGTGCAGAGTGCAAAGGCGGGGAGTCCAGGCTCACCCCTCCCTCGCTCCCTCTTCCCGCCCCTCCCCCTCCCGTGCACCCCTCCTCCTCGTCTCCTTCTCTCTCCCCCTCCCCCCTCCTCCTCCTCCTGAAGACCCCTGCCCAGTGACTGGCATCTGGACAGCTCAT